GAACCTTAGAGGATTATAGTAGCACGAATATCTGTGCTGGTGGTAGCCATTACGGCAAAAAGAGCTGCCTTGCTAGTCGGCAGAGAAAATGAGGTAAAACCTCAGAGTGTGAGAACTGGTTCTTAAAGCGTTGCGTGATGCGACGACAGTAAGCGTGCAGCAACAAGAGGATTGCAGGGACGACGTTCACAACGTGTATAGCAATCAAAAGTACTAGAGGCGTGAAAATAGCCTTAGTAGAAGAGATATAATCTCAAAAGGTTGCAACAACAGCAAGCGTGCAGCAACAGGAGGATTGCAGGGACGACGTTCACAACGTGTATAGCAATCAAAAGAGTGAACAATCTTATTTGAGTATCGCAGCGTGGTGCGGGGATACCGGGCTTATAACTGTTGGATGTGGGAGCACAGGGCAGGTATGAATGAGGCAGAAGGCTGTTGTATTGAGAGAGCTACTGCAAGCGATTATATACACAACCAGATGAGTAAGCAGGTGACTAACAGAGTCACGTGAGATGCAGTTCACAGTGTACTGTGTGAACTGAGGTGCCAGGCTGACATATACCTTGCAGAGCTTCTGAACCAGGACACAACCCGCCGCTTTAGATATGCTGACGATGTCTGCCTATACTGGGCCTCCAACTCTCTCGATGAAAACGTCCGCTTGCTGGCAGAAGATATCAAAGCTATCAAAGAGTGGAGGGCAGCAAACAAGGTGGCCTTTGCACCAGAAAAGTTAGAAATGATGCACCTCACTAGGTAATAGGATAACTACTATCCGCCCTGCGTTGTAGACGCTACCCTCACTATTACACCAATCACAGATCAGCATGACAGAGTCTAACCCGCCTGCTAATAGCTTAGGGTCTGGTTTAATTGAAAGCTCAACTTTAAAAGACACGTTGAAACTAGAGCAGCAACAGCCCGCAAAGTCGCCTATCACATCCGCAGCCTTGCTAACACAGTCTATGGCCCCCTAGCCTTAGCCCTTCGCAAAGCTGTCACTACCTGTATAATGCTATGCATCCTCTACGGAGCAGAATTATAGTATGAAGGTTGCACTAAGAATACTCTAACTAACTGATCAGATCTACTGCCTATAGTTAGCACCAGGATTAGCTGGCACCTTAAAGCCCTTAACCAGACGCTTACTATCGCGGCTCGCGCCATCCTCCCTGCATGGAAAACCTACCTAGAGTGGGCACTATTTTGAGATGCCAGCTTACTATCAGCACTTATTAGGTTAGAAGAAGCAAAGCTGAGATTTGCTCTGCATCTTCAGACAGTTGACAAGAATCACCCACTTACAGCCAGGTTCAAAATCCCAGTATTACAGAGGGGTATAGGAGCTAGAGGTTTACAGAAGCCGCGTTCCAAAGTCTAGAGACTTGGGATGATCCTCCCTACTACCCTCAGACACACCCTCATAGCGCCGCACTACTCTCTAGGGTGCCGCACTGATCTAACAAACAGTATAGCTAAGGCTGAGGCTGCTAAATTATTCATGAAGTGGTGGGATACCCTTACCTACCAAGACGTCACCATGATCTCTGATAGATCAGAACAACGCATTAACGGCAAACGCTTTGTCACCTATAGCTACGCCATATACCAGGCCCAGACCCAGATTGCCATAGGGAGGGGGTCACTTAATCCCCAATCTTATGTGTTTGATGCTGAAGCAGTAGGTGCGTGGAGAGGTCTCCAGCGCGCTATTAGACTAGCCCCTCATCGCTATCGCAGGCTATGGATGTGTATTGACTCAACGTCAGTTATCGGGTGTATACAGGGCAACGCTCCCACATTGTCACAGTGGGCATTCCTTAAGTGCCAGACAGCAATGGCAGTCTTTAACATACAAGTGCGCTGGTCGCCAGGCCACACCAGGATCATTAGGAATGAGGCAGCAGACCACCTTGCTGATACTAAAGCAAAAGCACCCAGCCAGCCTTATGGCATAGCCGCGGAACCAACAGCATCTGGGGTACGTTCAATCGCTAAGTCTCTGCTCAACGCTGCTAGGCAGCGCTGGTGGGATCAAAAGCGGACACAAATGTTGGCCTGGTACCGGCAATAGGAACTACCCTATCAAACTACAAAGACACCAATCGAACTAACGCTGCCGCGCCCTATCCTTGCCTATCTGCTGGTTATCTGGACACGACACGGGGACTTTGCATAGTACCACATCAAATTCAAACACAACACAGCTGAGTTAAACTGCTCTTGCGGGCGACTTAAAACACCTAAGCACATGCTCTTCTGCAGAAAGATAAGACGCTCTTTTAGTAGGTGGCCGCTCCGACCCTTCAGCCCCCTAAGCAACATCGAAGAGGCCGTCAGATACCTCAAGGTTCTACTTACTGAGCCTGAACACTTCAAAACACTCTTGGAGACCACTAAGTACTTTACATTAATCTGCCGGCGATAATCCCAGGTATCTACCAGAATGGTCTAGCATACCAAAATACAGCAATGAGCAGCCAAAGCTGCCTATTTGTGACCCCGTCTAAGTCGCAGCATTACAAAGCACAGCACTGAGCGGTCTCAGCCGCTCACGTGTGCTGATTAGTCCCTCGCTCATCCCTTCTGCAAGAAGAAACATAACACACAAGCCCTCTTATTTGTCACCTTTATACCCCCTCCCCCAGCTTTAACGCTGACGCCCTAGGCCTACTAGCCCTAGAACAAGAGCTCTGCTTCATTGCTCAACACATCCCTGGCCCTACGGCCCAGAACCTAGATAGAGTCTTTTCAACTGGCGGAAATTACCCTACCAGACTGCACACACTGCCAACACCCAAAGAATAGGAGCACCTGAGTACAGTCAGGGCGCTACCCGTCTTTCATGCCCCCTGGGAGGCTTTCATAGGACGTTAAACAATACATACATACATACATACATACATACATACTATCTACCGCCCATTTCACGTGAGCTCTTCGCAGGTGTGCACGACTCAATTTCAGCATTGGAAGATGAACGAGGGTTTGCGCAGTCAACTCTTAGATGCAGGTGTTGCTTCCTCCAAATATCTGCACAGCATTGAGATAGTTTGGGCTACGACAACTTCCACGTCTGGATTGTAGCACTGATAGCACTTGCGGGTGTCACAGCCTCGATGCTTCCTCTGCACATCGTTCTCGCTTCTCATATCTTGAACACTGCCGACGACAAAAGCGCAGCTGCTGCAATTGGTATTCGGAACACCACACTCGACGATGCATCCGCACGGTTGTGACTTCGACACATCTTCAACAGCATTACTTCACCGTCGGCGATCGTGTACAGGGTTCTCGCATACTCGCCCACCGTCAGAGCTTTTGGCCCATCCATGAGATGATCACTTCTCATCTCAGTGTATTCGATATTCTTCGTCTCGGATGAGTTTGCAAAGACCTGCGTTGGGTGTATGACGACGCGGTCCCCAATCCCTGAAGCATCAGTAAGTTGCTGAGACCATATTTTCGGGCTACAAGATCTTTTCGAAGCCTGTAAGCAAAGATACACGCGCTCTCCTCGGCTTAAGTTGCAGATATCCTTTCCAAATGCGCCAACTGGTCACCCAGATACCAGATGCCTCTACTCCTCATACTATCCCTGGCAGCTCTACAAGGCTTGAAATGGTCGCATTCATGACTGCAGACACTACGTGGCTATGTCTAGTACTTACTACTGACCTCGAAACGACCGCAATGCGTGGCCTCATAAGTGGCAAGGTACTTACTCTCGAGTATCTCTTGGAGGCTAACTGACGGCCGAACGTCCAATCGCCTGGCTAGATCCTCCAGCTGAGATTTTGGACACCGGAGAACTATAGTTGTTGTACACCTTGCAGAGCACGTGGTACATGCATTGGTGCAGTGAAGCAAGTGCACTGCGACCGCCCTTGCCATGACCTGGAACGAGGCTTACTGTTCGTTTCCTGCCTCGATGATCATATCCACATACTCCTATCCTCTTAGTCCGCTAGGCTGCTCCAATGACTCCGATGATAGACACGTTCGCACCATACTTGAATCATGCCATGGCGGCTTTAAGCCATTCGCCTTTCGCTTTTGAGATGCTTCCTGGGTAAAGTCACTCGACCCTACGTCAGACTCATACAGCGAATCAGAGCCTTTTCGTCAGAGAGGTAACAGGTACTCGTGGATCCTGGAACTTGATCTAGACAGCTTTGAGGTCCCAGACCTTGCAGACCGTTCGATGGACCTTGCCACTTTTCGCTTCTCTATTGGGATTTAGGTAGCTGCGTGCTATACCTCAAGGCCAATTTCCCTAATCTGGAATCTCGTGTGTCGCTAAACAAGTATAGTTGCGCCACTGGCCAACGACGCTACCGATGGTTGTGTGTTGCACGCTAGCAGGGCTATCCCTACACTCTCTCGTTGTACACGTATATATAGCTTCCCTCGTTCATAGCTACACAATCAACTCAGTCCTTCATTCCTCCTTCCACATCACACATCCAAGATTGAGCCCAGGTGTGGAGTTTGGATCTTCAAAGGAATTTGGTTCTCGTATAGCTGAACTACACGACTCATTCGACAGCTCGACGTTCCCACGACTTACGATGCTTGAACTTGCTCGGCGACCACCGCAGTACTATGACGTTTACGATTCGAGGAAGACCGCCAACACCGCCAATGGACGATCCGTCAAGCCTTTTTGGTAGACCTATCATGCTCGAGATGTCGTGCAAGTTCCTCTGGAGTTGCGAACGCGTATCAATGAGTCAGACAGAGTTCAATGCACACTGGGCAGGACTAGAAAGAGGAGACGCGAAGACTGAAGCCGGTGACGAGGTAGCGCTGTTTCCACTGAATTAGTGCCATAGCAGGCCTAAATCATGCACTGCAAAAAAATGGTCCTTCTATGGCGGTCCAGACAAGAGACCAATGTAGCGGCTCGCCGGCTCGGATGACAGCCTTGCTTGGAGCATCGCGATATTCGGAATGCTTTTAAGCAGCAAGCAAAGACCAAGAAATCAAAAAGATATTGCTCATTACCCGACTCGAACGAGTGATCTTCGCATGACATTCCTGTACAAGTGCGACGCCTTACCACTTGGCCAAACAAGCTTACTGTTGTATGACTAAGCAGTGCAAAGAAAAGTATATGTCCTCTCAAAAATTGAGGCACGAGTGAAAGCTGTGATACTAAAGTCATGTTGCGCTTCGTGGACAGTGACGGAGTGAAGATTTGCGTATGTGTGGGTCCTGAGGAAAACCCAGCGAGGTCAAAGTGGGGCGCGGACTCGATGACAATGGAAGACATAGCACGACGGATGTGAGTGCGATCATTACAGCCTGATCGGAAGTTGTCGTGATGGTTACTCCGAGTTCCATTGTTGGCTTCACTGGCGTTGTACTACCTAGGTGTTCACAAGATGATCATGCTCTACGCAAAAGGCCATTTGCCCATTTTATCCTTGTCTTGAATCATCACGACTATTAGCTGTACCAAATGATCTTGGGGAGTATATTGAGATCGAAGCGCGTGGTAAAGGCACGAGGTGATAATGAGCGAACCCACAAAAGCTCATAGGACACCGTCTTCGCATCCTGTAGAGTAATCCTCATGCCTCGGACTCGTCTATAGGCTGCATTTACCTCCTAACTGCACCAACTTCACCTTACTTTTCTTACTGACCCAACGCACCTTGACCGCATACTCCACCTTCACACACTCCACATAGCGCTGATACCCGCTATAGTCCTTGGCCAACCTCATCATGAACCGCCCGTCGTCATACGCCTTGGCCAAGCCCGCGTAATCGTATGCTCTTGCACGCCCCTCATCTTCAAGCCCGCCTGTGCCAACATACTCTGCAGTCCTATCGAGGCCACGAAGATGCCGAACGGGATCTCGAAGCCGCACAACATCTCGCCATCATTCTTCTCGACCTGGAGTATATCAATCGCCGGCATATTACCCCATATATGTTTTGTGTCCGGCGGCAATCCGAGGTAATCGCTGCCAGGGGCTGCCTGAGTCAACGGGGGCGCGCGACGATCTGTGAACCACTCCGGCTTCCAATCCGGATTGTTCATGGGATGCTTGCATGTCTCAATCTTGTGGGTCCGCCAGTGCGCTGCCTTGCACTCCTTGCTGCAGTACTGCACCAGGCGGCATCGCGAATACACAAAGCGATCGGCGTCGTTGGTGCACTGAACTCCGTCCTGTATGTTTGCGCACATGGGCGGATTGAGCCAGGTCGAAGACATTCTAAGTCGAGTATCAAAGGTTGAGAGTCGATCAGTTGTGTCTGCATGGTCGTTGGTGACTGCCAAAGGTCAGTTTATAAAGGGCGCCGAGCACCCTCGAGCTATTCACTTTCACTTCATCAGCCGAACTAAGTAAAAGACTTTCTCTTGTCACCCACAAACCCATCGCCTTCGACTACCTCTGACCCAGCTACATTAGAACAGTCCAGTCTCTATACGTCAATCTTTGATATAGCAGTTCTTCGACCTTGACACTTGGTTCGCGATTAGCGCCATGTCGTTCCCACTCGATATCATTCCGATGATGGACGCCATCACGGGGCGTCGCGTCGCAGCCGAGAGGGAGAATAGAGATGGTGCTATCCCACCCAAAGACGACGACCGCATACACCAGTGGCAGGCCGGAATGCGAAACGGTAAGTGCTACGAATCGAGCTATGGGTGTAAAGTAACACTATGATCAGAGACTCTTGCCGAGAAGCCCTTACCAAACGAAAATCTATTGCCAGAGTCACCAGATGACATCACAAAGGCCGAAAAGGCATGGAGAAAAGTGAAGGAGACGTTCCGTCCAAAAGAGCGAAAGAAGCACAGGGCGAAAGAATTCGATGAGCTGATGCGAAGCGGCTCGGCCAACGTGGTCGTGAAGGATGACAACGTGTCATGGAGAACCATGTTCACTGGTGCGGCCGCTGCCCAAGGGATGACGAGTCGGATGTTCCTGGATCGATATGAAGGCCAAGACGCTGTACATTCTCCAAGGCTACAGGGTATCGAAGAGGAGGAAGACGAGATCACGGCACTGCCATCGATGCCGCCGCACTTGCTAAGCCAGGTCCCCATACAGAAGGAACGAAGGAGGATCGTAAAGAAGGCGAGAAGTACGATGTTCTGAGAGAAGACGTAGACATAACGACTGGACGAGATAACAAAAACAACATACTACCATGCATACTGCATTCGGATCGATCCGGCGTCTCGACACTCTCGAGTTATTCATTGGTATCGATGCCAGGATAGGAGCCGTGTACCTTCAGGCTACTCTTTGGACTTGAATGTTGTGAGGAACGAGCGACGTTGGGCAAAGTGGAGCCCCGACGCTTTCCGCAGCGCCAACGGCCCTCCTCGCAACATCCAAAATTGCTCTGACAACTTTTGCTACTCCACACAGTCCGATAACGGCTCCATGGCGAGATCTGAGCTTGGTGTGGGAATTTCACGCTGTCAGAGAATTCGAGGTCTCGTTGAGTTAAGAACGGAGGCGTGGCTAGATGCGGCTCTCTTTGCGTGACCACAGATCGAGATGTGTGCTGTGCTTTCTCCCACCCCAAATAAGCAAAGCGTGTTTGCTTCTTGGACTGCCGAAGTGTGGGGAAGAGACGCCGACATTGTCACGATGGCACCTTTGAGTTGTGCAGAGGAAACAAATATGCTCAATGGGCGCAGACGAGAAGATGGCAAGAGAAGCAGAAGTCATCACAGATCGCGTTCGCCATTGCTCAGGTGTTCCCTCACTCAACTCCAACCAGGACAATCCAGCATATCGCAGCCCAGTAACTCTCCGATGAAGCCGCTTACTTCCCAGGGATAGCGCGAGCAATTGTCCAATGAAACGAGATTAGCGATCTATCCGATAAGTCCGCTTGCGGCTGCGTCAGTCTGGAGCTCGACTGGAGCATCGTCATGCGTGCCGACGGAAGCCGCGCGGTGCTCGCAACATCGTGGAACAGCCCCAGATCTACGACAAGTGTCAGGTGCAGTATATATGGCGTCAGGTACCATCATGGAGGTCACAGGACCTCAAATCCTCCAGTGCTCAAGCAAACAAGTGTGTGCTGCGAGTCAACGACGGGGCAATTCATTCCGAGCATTTGTTTCCAGCCAGCACACCATATAGGAATCACGATCACGGAATTTCAACTTGGACCTCAACCAGACTACGCAAGATGTACACTATGAAGAGCCGGATACAATACCTCCAGCGCCTCAATGGCCAGGCGTTGACTCAACGACACCGTGCACTATCGCAATCACTACGATACGTCCACCAGAGCTCACAACGCAATGTCGCTCTGCCGACGTCATCACAAGTCCACGCCTCCTCACAGCTTCTCTCAACACCAGTAGAATCTCAGCAAACCGCCTCAAGATCCGTCCTCGGTCGGCTACCAACGTCTACTGTCCTCCGCTCCTACCTCATAACCCGCATGTCCTCCAATCCCGCCTTGTTATCACTATGCTTCAACATCCTGCGGCGCACGCTCGACTCGAAATCGTGGCTCATGAGCATCGAGAAGAACCCCGTGCTGTCACAAATACTGAAGAGGACATTCTACGCACAATTTTGCGTAGGTGAGAAGAAAGACGAAGTCGTTCGCAACACCAACTTCGCACGTTCAGTGCTCGGGTACGATGGCATACTCTTCGAATACGCCCTCGAAGTCCTCGGAGGCGCAGAGCCAACCGCGCAAGAGACGGCACAGGAGATTGAGACGTGGAGGAAGGGCATGCTGCAAAGTGTGGAGATGGCTAAGGAGGGAGATTTTGTGGGTTTGAAGTACGTATTACTCGCGCATGACACCCAACCTTTTCAAGACATGGTATATTGACTTCCGACAGATGGTCCGGTCTTGGCCGACACGCACTCCATCTCCTGCAAACGCGCCAACCCGCCACGCCTGCAATATGGTCCGCCATAACCGCAGCCTGCGACGCCGCCGCCTCCAAGGGCGTCTCCCTCCTTCCCGGCGCAGAAGAAGAAGCCACCAATCCCGGCCTCGAAGCGTGGACGCTCGAACTCCAGAAGAAATACAACAAAGACCGCGCGGTCGTGTACATCACGTACCAATGCTACCTACGCGCCATCAACCAGCGTCTCGCACAGCACCTTGCGCTCGCGAGTCAAGAGGGATATGTCGCAGGCGTCAAGTTGGTTCGCGGCGCATATCTAGCTTCCGAGCCAACAGAACTCACATTCGATTCCAAAGAGGGTACAGACGGCATGTACGACGCCTTGACCTCCGCAGTCCTGAAACAACAATGGTCTGATGCCGTTCCCGCGCCTACACCCAGCACCCCGTTTCCAAGGGTGAATATCGTGCTGGCTACGCACAACGCCCCCAGCATAAATCTCGCAAAGTCAATCCGCGCGGAACAACTCTCCTCCGCCACCCCTTCTTCTCATCCGCTGCCAAGACTTACGTATGCGCAATTGCAAGGCATGGCCGACGAGATCAGCCAAGAACTCGTCCAAGACGCGACGATGAAGAAGGATGAGAAGGCCAAGGTGGTCAAGTGCATGACGTGGGGCACGACGAGTGAGTGTTTGAACTTCTTGCTCAGAAGGGCGAGTGAGAACAAGGAGGCGGCGTTGAGGACAGAAGATACGAGGCGGGCGATGGGTGCGGAGCTGTGGAGGAGGTTCAAGGGTGGTGTTGGACTTGCGTAGATGTGGAATCAGGCGCAGAAGGAAAGGTTTGACATGCACTTGTGGTGTTTTGTGGTGTTCAGATCGAATGACTGGAGGTAAGTGGCTCTTGTTAGTCGCGTTGCATAGCGATGCATTCGTGAATTCACAGTATTTGAAAGCAAGTGGACTGGTCAAACATCATTCATCTCAAGGCATACGGGCCGTCTTCCTCGCATACACCCTACACCGCACCACTCCCAGCCTCAGGCACACTCGCCCCTTCCAACCCAACCTGCACCGTCTTCTCACCACTCCCACTCCCGCTACCATTCCTCTCCACACTCTCCACATCACCAAGAGCCGTGAACGCCTCCAGGAAATCATGCTTCAGATCTTCCCACCCCTCCACACCAACACTCACTCTCAACAGCTTCTCATCCACCTC